TGTCACCCTATCCAGAACTTTAAGAACGATAAGTTTTGATTAGAAAAATAAAGTACTGTGAAAGCTTTTGGCTCCATCCACTAGGTGGCCAAGTCTCAAACGTCTATTTTCTGAAAACATATGAAAACGAATCAATAGTAATATCCTTTCCTAATCAATATCAATTATTCTGAAAGTTTTCGATGGAGGCGTTGTTTTGGACTTACGCTCAAGGACAACACGGCAATAATTCTAGCACCTAAATAAATGTCTTTAGACTCCAGCGATAAGGTTTCATCTGCTACTGGTACTATTAACTGTATACTTTTTCTATCTTGGTTTGGCGATAAATTTTTTGGCGATAGAGCCTCAGTACATAATTTTTAATGCATTTACATACTGTTGAGCTATAAAAAATTTACTACTTTGTAATACGTCCACCTTTCTTGATTATTGTGTTAGTGTAAACTATGTTTTACTTTTTTTTAACAGTATTTCCCAACTCCTTCGGTTTTATGATCTTCCAAGTCCAAAGATTTTAGCATCGTCTTATTTCCTCATTTGTAACTCTAAAGATGACCAAAGTTTTATCATTTACAATAATTCAAGCTTGAAATCTTGACAAAAGTCTGTTTTTTCTTGTTTCATCCGTGTTCTCTCGCTTGTATGTGTACCAATCCCAACAACACAACACTGTTTTCTTTAGTGTTGGCTACCTATATGCTGACATTAATGATAGTCTACAACTCTTACTATTTAAAAAACTTTTTAACGCAGTTACTACAGACAAAACACTTAAAATTTTAATGAAAAAGATGAAACCATAAGCTGATACTTTGTTGACACTCGGTAAAATAGTCTTGTTATGATCAATGCAGACAAATGCAGATTCGTTTTTTACTGTAACGTTGAAAAATTTTGTTGGACTACATTTTAAGACGACTTTTTCAATCGGTAAGTAGTTGACACTGCATTCAAAATTCTTTTTTAATTTTTACTTTGACTCATAGTAACAGTGATAATTTATTTATCGAAGGCAAGAATTCGTTCAATTTTTTAAAAGAAAATTGTAGCCTTTGGTTATCTTTGTTATCTTTATAAACTTGTAATGACTTGATCAACAAATAAAACTATAACTTTTTTTCTTACTATACAACTTAATTCTAAATACACAAGAACAGAAATACTCTAAGAATTTATTGTAGTAAAAGTATCGGAGTCATAAACTTGCTACAATATATTAATATAAGTTATAACGTTGGGCGTATCAGTAACACGCATAACATTATTCCATTATTACATTATAAAAATTATAGACAAACGCTCAATGAAATGATAAGAATTTGTGTTACAGTTATTTATATCTGGTAGTTTCTAGTTAAGATAAACAGTCGGTTCCACATACCACTTGCAGTTAGTGTAATGCTATTTTAAGAGTATGGAAAAACGAAAATAGTATATATATCTCAGCTAACTAATAACTGAGCAAGGAATTTAAACTCACAATAATTTCTATTTTTGTTATAATAGAGATTTTCTTGGTTTGAATAGTAAAATAGTGATGATTATTAAATATACAGAAATACTGTCCGTGACGGAACTCATTCTTACTACAGCATCTACGATTTTTCCTGTACGATAACGAAATTAAAAACAATCTGAAGAGTTATAATCAATGATAAAATGGTAGTTAACGACTATGGTAAAATCAACTTAAGGAATTAACTTAATAACCTGATAATAGTTTTTAACCAAATTAAAATCTAAATTTTTGAGTTCAAGGTTATAAAAATAAAAACGCTTGCAGAAGGAGAAACTATGAGTTAGTTTAGGTGTTTAAATCAAGATTTTCTTAAATTTTTCACAGGAAAAGACATCTTGTCATTTTTCTTACTATTTATGGTTTCATGAAAAAATTATAATTACCGTACAATGCAGAAAATTAAAGATTCTCTTTAGGCTTATCTTAGTGTAGCTTGAAAGGTATTTTATTACACAATGGTAGCAAATACACTTCCATCCTTATTCTGCACTCTGTGAATATGCATGAATCGTATGCTAACGTTCAAATTGTTTTTGAAGTAATCTCACTAATATATGAAGCTAAGTCTCAAAAACTGTTGTAATTACGGACCGCGAAAATTTTAACCGATTTTGCTGAACTTTTGCATACTGATTCTTGACACTTCCTAAATGGTTTTCATACAGTTTTTAATTAGAAAAAATTAATAACAATATCAATTAATAAGCGTAAGGTTTTGTAAAAATACGCTAGCTTTTTACTTCAGTTCAGCAGGATCTGCTAGGTCACGTCAACGTAAAACTAAAGATACCTGCTACCGAAGTGAGTCTGGTTTTGATACCCCTGAGCAAATGGTCGGTTTCCTTAGTTGTTAACTGGCAGTGCATCAATAACAGAGTTTTTAGTCCTACAGCTAGGTAAACCGGATACCAACGACGCTTTCCTCTAATAAACAAGTGACTTACGTCGAATCCAATCCTAAACAGCCAAGATTACGACTAACAATCGTAATACCTGGAGACGTTCACCTAGAACACAATCTGCTCTAACACTTCAAGGTTTCATGACCGTTTTTCTAACCAACCTGGTGCTACCATAGCACCTTTTTTTACAATAGCAAGCCAAGGAAAACAACCCCGAAAAGTTCGGACAGTTACATCAGCTAGAAATTTCATCAGCCTCCTCTTCAGTGGTTTCTGCTAACACCATACTCACGGATAAGGTTTTCTCCAAGCCCATCGGGGAATCTTCCCTGACTAATGGTGAGCAGTTAGTTATCCGGGGAACGACTCGAAGACGAGATATCTTTAGCCAGCGGCGTACATTTCTCCAGCACGATCTACGTATTCAGAGACTCCGAGGGTAAGAGTCAAGCTACACACAGCCGGCTCTCCGTCATTGAAAATAATCCTAAAAAATTACTAAAAGTATTAGCGCTGACCCTTTTAGGGCCATTATAAGTCCTTACATTCACTAATTAACCATTAATCTCATTAGTTTTTTTGGGGCCATCTAAACTACCTTGACAACAAAAATATTTTCACAACTATTTTCAACAATGACTTATTCACCAAAAGACTATATAAAGGCGGCCACTATTAAATCAAGCTAGTCATTCATTGGTAGACTTCACGAGCGAACTTGCTTGTCACGAAGGTGGGAACCCCGGCCGTTGACGACCCCGAATCATCCTCTCGACTCTAAGCATTTAACCAGGAATCACCGATCCTCTCTGAAGTATGCACTGGGCAAACCTAACAGTAAAGGTATAAAGGAGAAATAAACTTGAGCAAACGAGACGGTCTCCACCAGGCAAGCGTCACTAACCAATATTTTCACTTTGGACCATCAAAATCATTGAGCTCTGTAAAAAAAAGAAGGTGCTTTGGATACCAACATCTCTAGCGTAACACCAGAAGGTATTGGAAATAGGCTCTATAATTAGCTTTAACGCTTCAGACTGTTGTGGTTTTTTTCACGATTAGTCTAGTGCTACAACAGCAGGCAAAAGAAGACTATGCTTAAGTATCCATGCAGTCATGTTTGCTGGAAACTTCAGTTAAAAAAGAGTTTAACTCGCGGGTCCTTTTTAGGACTATTGAACGTTAAACTACCTTGCCAACAATTGTTTTAAAACTTACAAAAATGACAAAAAAACAGTCTATAGAGCTCACAAAAGTTTTTAGAGCAAACTGCTAGGGTTGCAAGAAGGCAAATGGAAAAGAAAACTTCAAATGCTTTAAATGTATATAATTCTAGGCACCAAGAAACTGACGCACAACAATTATTGAGATTCAAACAGCAGCGTCAAATTTGTCGATTAAAGAATCCATTACGTGAGTTGCTTTTTCATTTAGTATAACGTGAGAAAGTGCAAATCAACGGCCTTTTGGATCAACTACTTTTTTATGGCATAAGAAACACACGGTACTTTTTAGTATTATTACATTTTTTCAAACTTTCTCACAGCTTATTATTCGATCGGAACTTCATTGACTCCAAACAAAAATTAAAAAAAATTGGAATTACGTGTCAACACATTCCGGTACTCCACTTAGTGAACCTTGGGCGAAGCCGACACGGGGGATTATTAGTATTAAGCAATTTGTAAAAGCCATAGATAAAACATAAGAATGCTTTAAACATTTAGTGAATACATTGTAAAGACTTAGTGATGTAAGAATTAAGGGAGGGATATTTGTAGGTTCTCAAATTCGTCGTGTCATGAGAGAGCCTAACTTTGAAATAACTTTTTGGCAAATACCAAAAAATAGAACTACAAATTTTATTGTCAACTAAAAAATTCGGTAGCAATAGGATGAAATATAAGCTATGAACCTAATTTTTTTTATTTTCCCAAAAATATTGATGACGTAAGTAAAGAGAAAGGTAAATAATTTTATTATAATTTAAAAAAAAATGGAAGAACGTTATCAAGGAAAATAGAATGCTGCTATGCTCGCTAACTACTGCTGAACTAAAAAAAGGATTGAATTAATGCACCACACAGTAAACAAATTAATCCTTCAGCTTTAAAAATAGAAATGAATGTTTCTATAAATTATTCTAACAAGTCAATCTTATGCTATCAAAAGTATAGATTATGTGAACATAACTTATTTTATTACATATTATACATAATTACTTTATTGTATATTTACTTAGTTCAAATGTTTATAAAAAAAAATTTTCTCGTTTAAAATATAAAAGGTTTTATGGATAGGAATAACATTGAGTTTATAAAGACAATGTAACACGTAGACCTTAGCTTTAGAATGAAACAAAATGTGAGAAGAAATAACATTGTAACAAGACAAAGGAAAAGGTGTTTCTATTACATGATATTTTAGTGTTTGTTTTAATCAAAGGAAAACCAATATTTGGTGACGAAAAAATTCAGTGAAATTATACTACAACCTCTGTACTCTTGGTTGTTTTTAAGATATCTTTATATTTACTTTTGAACCCATAAACATGTAATAAACAAAAAAATACTTACGATGAGCGTAGGATCATCTATAGTGTGCTGTGAGTCATATAATTCTTGTTCGAATGGTATACCTGTAATTTTATGTGGACCAGTGGGCATTAACAACACTGTGAATTTAAACTGAGCCACGTATTCATTTGGTTTTTCGTACAAAACCTAAAACAAACAATAAAAACCACAAATTATATAGTGACCTACCTTAAAAATGTTGTCAGTGGAGATTAAAATACGAAAGTAAATGTATTTTTAAGGTGGAACTTGATAATTTACCTCATACAAAGTTCATATTACATGCGAACACCATATTAACTTTTTTAATTTAGCTTGTTCTACAAACCCTTCACAGATGGATTATAATTTTTTTTCACTCATTAATCAAAGATTAACTGCTTTTGATTAATTGAATGATAATCGTATTTATCTTCAAAACTCTTTTCTAATAAATAACGGGGATTTATACCAATAAGTCGAGAAACATAGAATAAACATCGTATGAATTCGTTATATTAATGTAAATCATCAAATGATTGGAATTTAAGTGAGCGAATTGATTTTTCCATTAATAAATACATAAATCAAGTTTTGAAAATATAGAGATAGCAGTGAAATTTGTAACAATAACGATTTATACCATACATAAAATAATCAAAAAGCCATGTATGGAGTTTGTATCTTTATTTCAATAAAAAATCTTCAAGAGGCCTCCTTGAGTGGCGAAACGTCAACAATTATTATTGAAATAAAGATACACACTCCATACAAGGCTTTTTAACTATTTTATTTACTAAATACATACACGGAGTGAGAGAAAGAAAGAAGAAGAACCGTGAAATACCAATTCACAGTCTACTAATATTCTCTTGGTCTTCTGAAGCAAATTCATGAATAAAAAATACATAGTTATTATAGCAACGTTTCGTTGACATCTTTAGGTTTAATTTACATAAATTCTTAGATAAATACGACAGATAAAGAATCAAATGTGCAAATTACCTTTTATGAAACACTGTAGGGAATTATTAATAATCACGATTCACCAGCAGATACTATGTGAAACATTTAAAAAATTGAATGTTTCTAATGATTTAAAATTTTTTAAATTTATAAATCTTTTAAAATTTATGTCAGCCCATACAAAACAACAGAATTTGAGTATCACATATAATTTAGTAGTCATAACATTGTCAGATCGTTCGTTTCATAGCGATAATATTAAAATTGTAACACAGATTTTGCACAAAAACAAATATCCCACTTATTTTTAATAATGAATACATAAACAAACAACTTTTAAAAATCAACACTATAAAATTAGCAAGCCGTAAATTTGAATCATGTAAAAGTAACAACATTGTCAGCGTGCTACATGTTTTTACTTTTTTCAACAAAATAGAACTTTTAAAAAATTGAATACGAGCATTATTCCTACAAAAACGAAAAAATTTCATTACATTGAACAACTAGAAAAATATAGAACAAACATGTAAGATGGCACTAATGTGGTATATGAAATTTCGTGCAGTGACTGTCCTGAAAAATATCCAGGAAAAACTCAGAGAGCACTTAAAGAAAGAAAAAAAAAAGATAAAAATAATAGAAAATTAAAATCTGTTGTATATGTACATCAAAGTACTAATAAATATATTTTTGAATGGAATGATAAAAGAATATAAGACAACGAGTCACATTATAAGAAACAATCAATTTCTTAAATGCTTTACGTAATATCCAACGGTAATAATACAGAAAAGAAAGAAGATGTACACATTGAATTATACTTATAAACGTTTTTTCAAGTATGTACGTTGCCGATTATTTTCATAAGCTTTGACACTTTAAGCTCATAGTACAATGCGTGTGAGTGTAGATGAATTTCTGTATATAAACTGACAACTTAGCGTAATGTGTACGCTTTCGCCTGTTTGATTTGCATGCAAGCGAATCTTAACATGTTAACTGATTCTCCTCAGTGTTTATAACAGATAATCTGCACATTCAATCATGTATCTGCCATAATTTTAGTAGTTATTTCAATAATTATTTTTATAAATTATCTCCATAAAGCCTGAAAAGGTAGACACACCAGTCAAGAAAACGTTGCCTTAAAGATCGTGTGTGTTATTTATGAATTTGCCCCAGAAGATCAACAGAAGAATATTAGACCATGAATATAAATTATCTTATTGCCCCGTGTAATAACCAAGAAACTTTGAGAAGCTTATTGATTCTCAAACGTTTCTTAATATTAGACTATACTTAGATGGAAAGCGAGAAACATTATGAACTATTAGGATAGTCCGTTTATTTCGAGCACCATGTTAATTTTCAACTTCCAATCTTGGGCTGGATCTCCAGTATTTAAAAATACATAAAAAATCAAAAATTTTCCATACACTTAGAAAGATGTGGCACCGTCAGAGTACCATCGGTAGTACAGTGCTAGTTCGAAAGTTTAATGCGTCAGCGATACCAGTTGAGACGAGAGCTGCACAAGACCTGTATATACGGTGCACCTAACCTATGGTACATACGTCGAACCACACTATGGGTAACGCTACTATACTTGAGCTCGTACGTGCGCTGTTCCGACTGGGATACCTACCATCCCAGTAGTCAGAGACATCAGACTAATCGTGATTTGGTATAGCTGCTGTAGGGGCAAGGACAACTGCAGCACCAAATCTTTCTCAGTGTAGAATTCAGTACACTGTAAATAAAACTGACTTTTCGGGGGACCACAAAAAAAAGGCTAAAGTTAGAGAAAAACTGTTACATTTTTTTTTAAAAAAACAAGCTTCAGAATAAAAGTTATTTAGAGTTATAGAAATATCAATCACGCATCGATCTAGCCAAGATGGTTTATGAAATAACAACAAACTTATTGTTTATTTTTTGAAAACAGTTGAGAATTGCATTTTTTTTCTTTCAATTTTGATACCTCCGTAAAAAATGTATATTTTTCAACCAAATTGAGTGAAAATGTAGCTCTTAGCTTAAAAAAAAGCGTTTTAAAAATTTTTAAAAATATTAAAAAGTTTCAGAAAGTACCAAACTTTTAAACCTAAATGGTTCATTCACCCTTTCGTTCTTTCAAACGATACAGAGCGTAACATTTTCTCCAAACATTCTCTAATATATCAGAGTAATTCGCACTTTTTTAATTGACTGGTAATATGCAAAAAATCCATCACAAAATTCTTTTTATTTTGTCAACCAAACCCATCGCGTTTCCGCTAAAAAAACCAGGTGTGGGTATTGGGACCCTTTGCAGAAATGAAACTTCTAACTCATATGTTATTAAATTCGGTATAATAAAAACTGAGAAAATTATAGTTCACCTAATTTCAATAGGTCCTTAATAATTAAGTATTAAAATAGTAAAAATTTTAATACTATTACGTATTTGAGCACGCGTGCGCATAGAGTATATATACTTCAATGTACTACTTATGTTACACATGATTAGCACATTCTAAGTACTTCCATGTTTGCTATGATATATGTATTAATACATGTACGAATTGTTGGTCATGTAATGCAGAACGAAACGAAAATTTCCACAATACTGCGCCGAAAGAAGGTACTTTCGTCCCGTACGCGGGATAAAAAATTTGTTTTATTTAAAATAACTATTCGTGCATTTGATTTGAATCATATGTGTAGAATCAATTTTTGTTAGAATGTTTGTATCAGGCAAATAAATTTTTTTTTTCAATTTTGGCTACCGTAAAAATAAAACAATCCACTCTATCTGATTAAAATTAAGAAAAACAATAGACGTAGCTATTTTCCATTGTGAAGTTGTAATATTCCATTCAATTTATTTTCAACGACTTTTTATAATTTAATATTAAAATTTACCTATGCTCTTCTAGTTTCTACAAATCTCAAAATTAATAATAAAAATATAGGTTTCAGTCATATGACAATTAGTCTTATAAAACACAATAGACAATAGAAAATAAATTAGTTTACAGGTACCATACTAATCATCAGTTATCGTAGAATTCAACATGAGCAGAGAGCAGGGTATGGGGTGCGTGAGTCTCTCTTGCATGCGCACAGTGGTACTCTGCAGCTACTCTATCTATATAAATAATATAGCCTCTCTCTATACCTACTGGTGCATGGTAGAAATCGTAACGTGGCTGTCATAAGGGCGTAACTGGACCTGCGGTAGGCAGAGAGAGCTCAACGAGTGGGGTGCCTCAGCTCGATCGTTATTACTGTTACACGCCAATCGCTAGAGCGCAGCTCACCGCAGCTTGCAGCACCTTTATGTATACGTACACGCACGTGCGCGCGCACGCACTCACACACACATATGTAACAGATCTTTAACAGAGTATGTATGTGTATATTCGTAAAAGGCATTGCAAGCTACAGCTAGCTGAGCTCTTACTATCGGTATCTAACAGTACAAACGATCGAGCTGTGGCGCCCCACTCTGAGAGCTCTCTCAGCCCGCAGCAGTGCCGAACCGTATGAGCACACATATATTAGGCTCTGTGATAACCAATGCTTAGTTTGTAAGAGTTCAAGCTGTTTCGTACTCCTAGAGTTCCATTTTTCGAACGCTAACAGTTCAATACGCTTGAACTGTCGGAGTCTAGTACCCATTTAGGCTGTAAGAGTTCGAATTTTTTTTCGCGTCTAAAAGAGGCCCAGTTTAGCCCTTATTACAGCCACGTTACGATTTCTGCCTTGCATCAGTAGATATAGAGACAGGCTATATTATGTATATAGATAGAGTAACTGCAGCGTACCATTGTGCACATGCGAGAGACTCCCGTGTCCCGTGTCCTGCTCTCCGCTCTTTCCTTGTCACCAAAAACTAGATTGACACTTTTTGCGTTGCACCAGCCGGTTTTACTTACCACTGGATTTTTAATACACGGCTATAAAAGTTTCACTTCAAAAATTTTTCTTCTATTGATCATCACTAATACTATTTGATAGCTAATATTTTTCAACAAACAAAAAAAAAAAATTTTGATGTATGAACTTCTGGAGACGAGATACTATTTTTTTGTTTTAGTTCGCAAGGACGTATTATACATTGTACAGCGGTCAGGTTTAGACATATTTAAGCTTATACTTGTACTTTTCATGAGAAAATATAACGGCTTGATATTACACTACTGACATTTTAAAAATCCATTACAAGTTAAACACAGTATTTTTAACTACCCAAGACATTCACGCACACTTGTGCGCATGTTTACTCTCTCTCTCTCTCTCTCTCTCTCTCTCTCTTTCCTCATTTGGCGAGTACAGTAACAGTCTGTTTTGATAGTGCCTTTT